TTCTAACTTGTTTTTAAGTACAAAACAGTTACTAATACACATGATGCATAGGAAAATGTTCACTATCACGACAATGGCTCAAAATAATTATATAAATATCTTCAGAACTTTAGACGATACGCTTTAGATCCCTTCAGATACATTTGAATTGCCTTAAATGGAAGGATTCTTGAAAATCATGGTTTTTCACCAACCAGTACCGGTAAAAATCATTTTTGATAAAGCGCATCAAACTTTTCAATATCAGAATCGGTTTAAAGACTCGCTAAAGATCGTTTTGTAGAGAAGAAATTATGAAAGCGCATGTATCTTTAATTCTAAAATTAAATTTAAAATGTAGTGTTTTTTTACGTCACATATATCGCAATGTTAAAACACGCATATCTTGTGCTAGAAGAGATATCTCCAATTTTACTAGATGCCTAATTCGACATCTTCTCTTTTAAAACCGGTGACCCTTATTCCCAAGTTATAGAAAATCTCTTCAAAGAGAACAGAAACAGAGCAATCTTATCCGGTGAAGATTATACAGCCGTAATTTATGAATAGTGCTAGTTAAAAGCGTTTTTATCTATTCCCATGGCAAGGAAAATGAAAATTTATTATTCTTGACAACTAGTGTGTAACAGAAAAGCTAAAAAGAAACAAAAGTAAATAGTGTATAACAAGCAATATGATGATTATGTTTTATAACTTTATTGATTCATAGTAGAAAAGGTCAGCGACAAGGTCATTTTAGGCCTAACGTTTAACAATATGTATTGAGATAACATGGGAAAGTAGTTTTGAAATCCGAGAGGAAAGAAGGAGATAACAGTAACAATCAAATATAATGAAAAAAATAAACGATAAACTATAAATGACAGGTCCTTGAGATATGGTGGATTTATGGCTTATAAATAGATTTAAAAAGAATTAGACATGCTGCTAGTTTCCAAATCTTTTTGTTTCTCAAAACATCCAGAGGTGAGAGTGAGAAAAGACCAAGCCTCACGCTCCTGAACTCGATCCACCTGTCGATAATGGAAGTGTAGTTCCGCAAATGCCTTCTATGGCGTCGCACACATGGCTGAATACCTATTGCTGGCGTTGAGTCACGTATAAAACTGAGGTCGCGAAGGTTTTGCCATAAAGATAACGCACAAGTTATTCAGTAACAATGAAAAAATTTTGAGAAATAATGTCACAATATCAGGAAGACTCTACGCAGTGTGTTATTCTATTTTTACTTAACGTGGCATCGTGCGATGCTTTTTTCACAATATGACGCAACAAAAAAAGCGATCGTGGAGTAATAAAAACGAAATATCTATAAGATTTGATACATTGTCAGTCTCAACTTATTAATCATTAAGTGATCATTGACATCGGCGATTCCTTTCCAGTCAAGGGATAAGTGAATCAGCATGATGAACGCTACTTGTTTTAGATTGACCATACTTCTTAGAAACACTAGCATAATTCTCGTAGGAGCAGTATAAAAAGCGCTTTCATAATTTCTCTCATAGTTCTCACTTTTATGGTAAAAGACTGATTCATTTATTTATCACAATTAACAATACGTTCAGTAAATGATTACAAAATAAAACAACGACATTATTACTATTTCTAATTTGAATTTATTTGCCTGACTTGCTCTACATGTGTCCATATCCTTATCGCAATAGTCTTTTGTACACATACAAATTGTTTCACCATTTCGACAGTTGTATAAATACAAATTTTTCGATAAATATGTTGATTGTGAACATTCTTCCATTCGCGTATATGTCAAATAATAACTATATAAACTTGGTGGTAAACATTGCCTTGTCACTTGTCCTGAACGATCTGATTTTATTAAACAGAGAACACAATTTTTCTCAATAAAATTTATACAATCAGAGTCTCCTGCATTGCATAATGACGTTTTGTCACTGTAACATTGAATAGGTGTACCAGATTCTTTGACCGTAGTTGGAAACGGTACATATAATCTCAAATTATTTTTTAATATACATTCATTGTAGTCTATATTACATTTATTCTCAGTACATGTACACGCTCGATACGATCCTCTCACTCGTGTGTATGGTGAAGCAATACAATAATCGTTGAAACCATTTAGATTAGCTGATGGATATCCGAAACATTCACGCACTAAATTATTATGGTAACCTTCGACTTGTTTATTATTAAGACAAAAGTAGGAGCTGCCCGCGGGACCATTACCAGTTATTGAAAGTTTAGTATCAATACGATAATTACGAGTAACAATGAGACATGCTTCACATTGGTTACTAAAAGAGGCTATATCGGATGTACTTGCACAGGTAATATTACGAGTTGATAAACGATAATCCGATGTTGTTAAAAGAGCGACGGACTTTGAAAGGATGGTGATAAAATAGGTTAAAATTAGCAGATACAGCATGGTAGATTATGATTGACCTCCTTTGCTACTTCTAAAAACAAGTTTTTAATAAAAGTCCAATTTTCTACACTAGATTAACATAATTAAGACAATATTACCAAGAATTAATAGATAATGATGGAAAAAATACCACAAAAATCAAGGACGATGACGTGACGATGTTGAAAAGATGTTTTTTCGATACACAAAAACAGCAATTAATTTTTTTTTCGTCAATATATGCAGGACATAATGAAGATGACATACGTATAGCAGACAAAAGTAAAGAAATATTTATCCGTATTTATTTGACTAAGGTATTCATACACCTACAGCACATTTAAATTGATTTAAACTTGTTAATTTCTAAACAATGTTATGATGCATAATTTTGTTTTTGAAGACGCATATTAAATAACAAAATGTTGCTGAAAAAGCTGCTGATTTTACTCTTTTAAAGAAATAAAGAAACATGGTATCTCCAAAATTCAAGTCGTTTGGTCTGTTTTACAGATGTGCACGCGTACCATTGTCGTACCCGTACCGAATCCGAAAATTTTTTTCCATCTGCACCCGACTTATGCCTAAAACTTTTCTCCATTTTGTTTTGCAGCTAAAAACTTTGTTTTTCGGCTGGAGATGTCAAATTACCAATACGTTCTCAAGTAATTACTTTCTAAACCTGCATGTATTTTAGCTAAACTCCTGTATTTTTTCGCTAAAAGTTTGTGGGTTTTCACTAGAGCCTTCCGGTTTTCGGGTAAATTAAGAAATCGAACTCGTACCTGTGCGTAACTGCTCTATTCGTACCCGGCTCGTACCCGACAACTCCATACCCGTACCCAACCTTCGGATCCGCTCGGGTTTCACATCTTTCGTCTGTTTTAACTTAGGAATACATCATCTATAAGAAAAAAGAAACCACATGTTTGTTTACGTATATGTTGTAGGCAAAACTGAAATTCAGGCAAAGGACACCGTACGATAAGAAAAGTTTTAATTTTTCCAAACGGATTATATGGTTCGATAGAGCTCATTAAGGCGCATCCGAGGATATACTTGGTTTTGCTTAGACATAATTTCTTCAGTAAGAAAAAAAATTTTCTTCAGAAATACCAAAAATTGATATCCGTCGAGAAACATTTTTTTCCCGAAAGAAACAAAGTGTTTCTAGTGATCATTTACATATCATTAGATGCGCCAACAAATTCTCTATCGAATACACTACTGATCCTATCTAACGGTTTATTTTGAAAAAGAAATTTGTAATGTTACGTCAGGTAACAAATGGTTTTACACAAGAGAGGGTCTCAAAAAAATTAATTTTCACCCGTAACAACACCGTAATACAATAAGATATTTTGTGAAAAACTGCCAGAAGACTAGATGAACAAAACTATTGAAAAGCAATCTCACAATATTTGGGCCTACCACAGCACTGTTCAAAACAGTATGACAACGAAGTTTTTGATAAATCTTAAATTCCGGTATTTTCGATTTTTCACGCTTTTTGGTCACTCGTCTTTGACATTTGAGACCATATATGTGATTGCTAGATCGAAATCTATCAGAAAATATGCTTGGTAATCATATCAGATCCATAAATCCTGGTGTGGTAATAGCTGACCCCAAAAGGGTCAAATTTTCTCGTTATCGGTGATCTTGATTTCAACGATGGTTCCAAAACATTTTTCAATATATCATTCGATAGACAATTTGACGGGCTACAAAATGATATATAAGATAGCCTTAAGAAAATGTAACTGAGTACTCTCAGATTCCAAATACTCGGTAGCATCTCAGCAAATCGGTAAGCCAATGTCGTTCATGTTTATAATATCCATTGATTTTGCCGTTAACCACCCTATTTTATATATCATTTGATAGAGAATTTCACGAGCTTCAAAATGAATTATAAGTCTTTCAAAAATATGCCCATATGGGTCAATAGTCGAAATACTTGGCCGATATCATAATTTTCACCTATCGTAGTGCTTTAAACACACCTTCAGTCATTTTTCTGCCATAATAAAAAATTCTATATTTTTCAAAAACATACCATTGGATAGCCCTTGAAATTCTCTGCAAAGTGAGCTGATCAGAATATCCACACAGGTGAGGCCAGGGAGTAAAGATATGAAAAAGAAGAATAGGACTAAAGCCACTAAAGAAAAATTTTCACCTTACGAAATAATTCTTCAATGAAAAAGAAGCATGAGAGTGCAGTCGAATAGTCTTTCCTGGAGTCATGCACTACAGCAATGTGGGTATAGGTCCTTGCCGGATCAGGATGATTAGAAGAAAGAAAAGTAGGAGAATACAGTCGAGTAGTTTTCTGTCGATTGATGTACCTGACCAATGTTATTGTAGATCGTTGCCAGATCAGGATGATTAGCTGGAAGAGGCTTTGTCGTATTTTAAATGTCTTTTCAAAGTAGGAGAGTGCACTCCCATGTGCTGATGCAGTTTTTCCGAGTTGATGTTGAAGGCTGCCAAGCATCTCCCAGTCATCGTGCGATGTTATCTTAAGAAGTTTGTTACAAAGTCAACCTGGTTTAATTCGCTCATTTTGATCATCAAGAGGCCGAGTTGATGCCATGGTGTAGAAACACCCATTTTCTTCCGCAGGTATTCGGTGAGACTCTTGAGTTGTTCATCGTTGAGAGAACGCATAAATTTCTCGAAGCGACCGTACAAGTCGGGCTAAATACATTCTACGGGCCCACTCCCGGACTAGCCGGTAGAATCTAGATTAGTATGGAAACAGAAGATATTGAAAGCGCCAGATTTCGGTGATACATCAGTCGATGTAAGCTTATTGAAACACAAAATCCATTGATTTCTTTGTATTTTCCTTTAGTTTGTCCAGTTATTCGTTAGATATAGAGGTGTTAGTTAGTGTTTTGTTATTGAGTATCCGGACGTCTATTTTAATCAACTCTAAAAAACAGAAATGCTAGTCAGTAGCTATAGTAGTATCTGGAATGGATGCTCACAGGACAGTCAATTTCGACAGCGATATTTTCATGAGTAGGCAGTATCGTTTTTCCACGTTTAGTGTGAGTATTGCCTGTCGCTGTTATCTTGTAATTAGGCATGCAACAAACCAAGCCTTAGGGCCAAGCCTTGAAGCTTGAGTCAAGCAATCTCCCGTCAAGCGGTACTAGACTTCAAGTCAGGCCTCTCGATGGGGTGCGTTAGCCCATGGATTCCCATGGAAACTCATGGTCACCATGGGCTAGGATAAAATTTTATCCGATAGATTCGGTATGAATATTCAATATTATGAGAAAATTAAAACTTTTGCAAATTTTTCTTAGACAAGGTAACGCTTGTCTGCACTCGCTTGCGAGCACAGTGCTTGCACAGTGGGCATTTAGGTGAAAAATCGCAGTTTCGAATTTTTATATTTTAAATGATGACATATATACTATAAATAATGTCCTATTTAACGGTGAAAAGTTTTTGGCTCTAGCTTCTTCCAAAGTTGAGAAAATTAAATTACAAAATTATCAGTAGAATTAGTATGCTGGCGCATAAAATTGCATTTTCTCCGTCAAATTATAAGTTTTTTTCAAAAACAATGACATATATAGAATCGCCATCTATTGGGCTATCTAGCCGTAAGAAAATTTTCGTCAGACAAAGTTAAATTTCGGGGAACATGCGAAGGTCTTTCCACGGAACTGATCTAAAAAAAAGACGTCGTCATAAAAATGCAATCGCTAAACTCCGCTGAGCAGCTATTGATATGAAAAATAGCTCAAAATATTCGTCTTCACCTTCTCTACATATACTGATCTCACAAAGTCTCACAACTCTATGAGTGCTGAGTTACAGGCTTTCCAAAAACCCCGGAGTTTTTCGAGTATTTCGCAGTCTTCTCCCTCAAAAAAGCACTTTTTCTTGAAAGTAAGGTCATATTTGGAATCAGCGTGAAAACTGCATCGAATGGTGTATAACTCATCTAGTTTCGGTCGATCGATTTCGAATTCTAGAAATTTCTTAGTTTTTTGAGATTCACACAAACAATTTCGTGCTGAAAATTTGAATTTCCAGATAAAGTAACCTGAACGACTCGAAACATGTTTCTTATAGGTTTTCGACAATGCTCTTTCCAGTGGCATCGTTTTTAAATATTGAGAAAGTTTTCTGAAGGATTTTCCAAAGACCGGATCTCTGGAAAGCTCCTTAAAAAACTTTTTCAAAACCCAACTCTCATGCCATTAGAAAGAGGATCATAAAAAACCTATAAAAAAATGGTTCATGAAATTTTAGTTCACTCATAAAACCAAAGTCCGCCTGCTCTAGCAAAAAATGCCCACTGTGGCTCAGTCCCTTGACTATAAGAACTTATATCTACGAACGACCTTCCATGCAGAGCTACAGAATCTGCCTGTTTGCTCCGACGGTCGTTAAGGGAAAACGTATTGATTTTGGCGAAATTTTTTGAAAGATTGTAATTTCTTTTTGCAAATATTTTGCAAAAAGGAATACTGGTCGTGCATTATGTCAGGGATTTTTTTATAAACGTTTTCCGTCCAGGGAAATTTTCCAACTTCACTGCAGGGTACAGTGTAGATTTTGCACCTCTGCTTCCATGACTTTGAATCCAAGACAACGCTCACGTTTGCTAAGCAACTATGTAAAATATGTTATGAATTTTTCTCTCAGTTCATGTGTAAGCTTCCTAATACAATGGAAACCTAAACACCAAACGTCAATCATGCTTGACTATTGCTACAAGTTTCGTTTTTTCTGTACAGTAAAGCATAAATAAGAATCTGACTATTTTTAGAAAGCCTACATCTAACTTCTCTAGGCAATGTTACTCTTTGAAAAATAAATAAAAAAACCGAAATGCTCTCTCTTTGAATTAAAATTAAAATCTGATCAATAAAACGATACAGTTCTTTCTCTTGTTCAAGAAGGACTAACAAAAGTCCGTAGGTTTGTGAACAACAATAGAAACCGTTCTCTAGCTTCACAGAAAGGATGAATGATTGCTAGTAATACTAGCGGTGTAGCGAAATGAGGTCTAAAGTGTTTCTATTTCTAAATTTTATAATATAAAAATAAATTTTCTACAATTCGACAAGCATGCTTGAAGCCAACCAGTGCTTGGCGTCAAACAGGATTGAGGTCAACCGTCTTGACTTGTTGCATGCCTACTTGTCATTTTATCGACCTTCTTGGAGAAAAGCGGAATCCGCATGCCGACTACCGAATTCCAGCCTGGCCCGATCCAGTCCATGGGCGCTCATGGATTTTCGCGGCCCATGACGGTCTCTGCTGAGGTCACATGCAATAATAATGATGGTTTTCTTTATTATTATACAGAAGCACGCAGTATTTCACAACAAATTTATGTACTAAACATTCAGATATATTTCAAACTCAAATGAGTTTGACCTCCCTCCCTTCGACAAACGTCAATATCGTCAAGTCGACACGAAACTATGTCTAATCATTCACTTTGTTTACAACACGAATTTACTGGAAAATATTTTCATGTTCATGTTATGATATATGCTTTATAAGAAATACAGAGTTAAGACAAAAAAAAAGAAAAAGAAAATGAAACATCTTACATGATAAATGATAGGAGCAATTTTTTTACAAAGAAAAAAGAAATTAAATGAGCTACAAACACGTAAAAAGTCACCGTCGACATGCATAGAGACAATTATACGCACTTTTCAAACTAGGAATGTTATTCAAGTGCGCTGCGACGATTTTTAAACGCACGAAAATTAAATGAGTTCGATTTATCAATAGAAAACGTTCGTTTTGGAAAAAAAGAAAGTGAGCTAGACAAATTTTTTAATTAATTCTAACAAATAACACCATAAAGATCGATTTTACGATCTAAATAAATGCAACAAAAAAAAAATATTGCAAAAAAAATGTTTCAGTGAGAAAATGATTCATACTTACGTTTGACGAAGTGCAGCCAAACGTTTTGTAAGTTCATCCTAGAAAAGTGAAATGTAAACAATTGCAAAAAAATTAAAATTACATCAGTTGTTTAATAACAAAAAGAGAAAAAACAACGCATTTTGCTTTTTGAGATATATAAACTCTGTAATTGTCCATTATTAAACTTCCAATAGTGTCAAATTTGAAGTCTAACCAGTGACACTTAGTAGAAATATGTTACTTACTTGTTCAGTGAGAGCTGTTGTCGTTCCAACTTGTGATGCTGATGGTATATTCATATTTAATTCAAGACCAGCTTCATCAGCTATTTCTTGTAATAAACTTGTTACTTTATCAGCTGGTGTCAATGTTGTAGTTGTAGCTTGCATTGAATCATCCATTACTTTTGTTTTTACATCTAAATCTTCGAAATTCTTTTCCAACATTTCCATCATTTTTGATGTCTAAAATTAAAATTAAACGACAAAAAACTTCATACACACACACACAAATGTCTTATCTAATGTATGAGATAAAATATTCAATAACTAAAAGGATACTCCATGATCGCTTTGTGACAGAACATTTGTCAGATAAAATAAAACAAAAAAAGTGATCTTACTTCGCTTAAATCCATATTTTTGGTAACTCGTGTCATAAGTGCAACGGTGTTTTTCAAGCCACTAGCTAACTAAAAATAAAAATATACCATTTTTTATGTATAGTTCAATTAGAAAAAAAAAGCGAGATTTTCGGTTACTTGTCTGTGTGCTGAAGCAGCTTGAACACGTGATTGAATCGATTCAACTCGTGCTGATAAACGTTTACAATTAATTGATTCTGAATGATGTCTAATGGCATTTTCAGCATGTATTTTTGCTGCTTCTAAATTTCCTTTAGCTAATTCTGTTTTAACTTTGGCTTTTTCTGCACGTTCAGCTTTATCATGTTTAATAGCTTCACGTTCTAATTGTTTCGATTGCATTTTAAATTGAAACGCTAAATTATCTGCATAAAACGAAAAACAATTATGATTACAAAGTTTAATTTGAAGAAATGACAAAAAAAAAAAGATAACTTACCCGACATGATTGAGTAATTTACTGTTTAGTTAAAAATAACAATTAGATAAAGACAATAACAAGAATTAATCTAAAAACAGAAAAAAAAGCCATGTTTTGAATAAAGTTTCAACAACATTTACATAATTCTGACTGCGATCAAGTGTTCATTCGTCCTCGGTAATCATCTCCCTAAATAATGTTAATAACTATTCAAATATTATGATTATAACTGAGAGCTCATCAGAGCCATCAATTCGACTTTTCTGATCAAGTTTGTTATCAAACTATTGAATCATAAGCATAAAACGATCATTATACAGAAATAATTCAACATTCTCCGGATTTGTTGTATTCGATTTATGAAACTGGAGCATTAGCCAAAATATCTGTCCTAGATTAAGAAAGAAGTACAGAAGAACAATCACACAAATACAAACGCCATCTTATTTTTCGCTGACTGCTTCTACTTTTCGAAAAGATAAAAACACAACAATTTTAGGAGAAAACGAGAATTATTTAGAAAATACTCTACTATTTGATAAAAAGCCATATACAAAAACAAAATAGCATATGACAAAAGTAAAAAGATGCATCTGACAACAAAGAAGAAGTATGAAAAGAAAGAAGAAAAAAGATACATACTATCGGACAAGAAATAATAAAGTAGGACTAATATTAACACGAGTAAGTACAAAGATAAATAATATCTGATAAGTTTCATTTGTATTCTTACTATCGTTTGCGAAATTTTTTTTCATGAGTTTGTCTAAAATGATACCAGCAAAATATAAGATTAGCAGACTTAGTTTCCAGATTATTTAGCCTATATAACAGCACTTTTTAGCCTAATATTCAAGCCTGATTTGATAATTGAACGATGACTCCTTTTTTACTTACCAGACAAGCGAAACAAAGCAACTCTTCCGTCATAAATTCATGGAGATGATATTTAGATGAAAAAATAGGACATAGTTGTGTCTAAGCACCGTTATCCTCAGATAAACCTTCATCAAATTATATTTATCATGTATAGAAGTAAGGAGAATGCTAAATACCTAGATATTAAACTCTCAAAATTCTAACAGTACAGATCAGACTTTGTTTCACTAGTATCTTACCCATCTTCCATTGTTCATTATAGACCGTCACGTTTTGTAAAAGTCATAGCTCTTCAGGCGAGCAACATACAGAGTTGGACTGGGGAACGTCTCATTTTGTACCTTAAAGATTTTTCTTTCAAATGATAAATCAGCAAAGTCTAGTAGCTGACTAATTTAAGTGACATAATGTTTTTGGTATACGTTACTTTTGTACAAAAGGGCCTTATTCATACGAATTATACGCAGATGTTTAGAGTCGAGCGAGACTTTGCTTAATTACCATCTTTAAGCTACAAAATAAATCTCTAACTCTGTATGTTTCTCAGCTGAAGAGTTATGACTTTCACAAAACGTTACTGACTTACGTTTTTTGACTCGTACGTCTAGACAGACCGTAATCCATTTGGCTGATCTATTCGGTACATATTGTCTCGATATCAATCTAATGTATTGCGAATTTCATCTCTGATGTATGTCGTGCTGAATCCTTTCTGTTAAGAAATGAGCAAACAATAATAATTCTTCCTCATGATATTTCTTCATCAGCAAATAAATGGTTAGATATATGCACAAGCTTTTGACAAAATACATTACTTATAAATAAATTAGTACGTGTTGTTACTGGTGTTAGTTGACATTTTAAATCGAATTTTCGCGCTAAACTCATGAAAAGAACTTTATAACGATATTTTTAAATGTTCAATATGACAAAACATTATGTTAGTGTACGAATAAGATGGAGAACACCATCATGAATAACTATAGCTCCCTTTTGAATAGATTATAATAATTGAGCGTGTTCTTTAGAAGATGGAACAGACATGCTATTATATTTATTTTACATTGCTATTAGAGATCGTTACTGTGTTTTTCGAAAATGTGTACTCTATATATTTATTTGAATCCCGAGTCAGTAACTGACTCAACAAGACAGGGGATGTATGACTCATATGTGTCATGAAACCTAATAAACAAATCAGAAACAAGACTTTTTTGTATAACAGATTCCGTCCCAATTTAACAAAATCTTTCTGAAATATGATTAGATTATTAAAGACGATGAGTTAAATCAGTTCAATTTGAAACTGATTCTATTTAAAATGAGCGCCACAAGCATCTTTTAATCGCGTAATATATTCATATGGTTTATAGCGGAATAGGTTCCAATTCAATAATACTCTTATGGCTTAGATGTTTCAATAAAGTTAAAAAAATAACAAACAAACTGACATTTCAAGACATATACAAAACAGCTTTGATTAAAGCGAAGGAAGACAATCTTTCACTATGGTTAGAAACGTTGGCGATTGGTGAGCTGCTCTATTTTCTGTTTGTTTTTCTGATTTAGTTTGGGTTATACTATTGTAAGCCTAAAACTAAAAGTTTCATACGATAAGTTACATTGACAAGAGTATAGAGCACAAGAATCTAAACTTTTGTGAAAAATGTACACTTTTTGGGACATTTTGCAACTTTCTTTTCCCGTACTCATTCAAAAATTGAAGACCTATATCATTGAAGACTAAATCAATCGATCAGTAAATCGCCGTGGTAGATTTCTTTCTATTTAAAGTAATATTGATAAGAAAAAATATTTAAACACGTATCAGTCGAATTATTTATATGGGGTGCATTATATGTTTATGACGTCTAAACAAGACTGTCTAATAGAATCAGACAGTTATATATTGTCATGGAAATCGATTTATTAACATTCTTTATTGCATAAATTTAAACCCAGTCTTAAGCCAACAATAGGTTTATTACAGTGTCTCATTTTACAACATTAACTTAAGACAACCCTAATGACGTCTAAAGTCAACGCGTAACGATTATATATTCATTTTTAAGATTCATCTTTGATGTTTGGCACAGTAAGTCTAACAGGAAAAGCTCCAATTTTTCTAACTGCACGACGCAGTTTTAAAGTGCAGACTGCACTCTTTTTTTTAATTGTTTATAATGTGTACAAAAATATTTGAAATAATTTTATTACAGTCAAATGGTCAAGAATCCCATGCTTTACAAAAGTGTTTACTTGAAGAAAACTTATTTCAATTGGTAGTGACTTTAATACATAAACTTCCAAGTCCATCGAAGTTTCTAGCACTAAAAGGAAGTTTTGACCATTCCAGTATAAAATCCAAAGTTCAAAATCATTAGTTTATAGACCAAAAAATGCAGAATTTCGCGCTCTATTAGACTGTGTAACTTACAAATAAATCTGCTACTTTTTTTACCTGAAAAACTAGGGAATACTGAGTGTCGCTAACGCTCGTAAGATCTCCGAAAAATAGGAGAAAATGACCTTTCCTAAAGACTCTTTTTTGCTTTGAGTTCATCTAAAAACTCATTGTTTGTCGATAAAAAGACACCATATTGTAGAAAATTTCTTGCTGAATTTTTCGGTATACCTTGTTTTGTTGAACATATGATTTTTAGCGAGATTCTGCGCAAAAAATCGATTTCTTGAAGGTAAACTTGAGAAGTTTGGAGTTTTTCCTGTTAGACTTACTGTGCCAAACATCAAAGATGAGTCTTAAAAATGAATATATAATCTTGTAGAGAATTAAATTGTCTATCGTTTGGTATAGTAAGGAACGTTTTTTCTGAAACGATTTGTAAAGAAAAACTGTATGTAAATCGTTTCAAAATAAATTGATCGACCTGTATATCAAAGATTTTATTATCCTGAAATCTTTGTTTTTCCATTTTAGATTTATGCCGTTCATCTCAACATTTGATTGAAGAATATGAATTGGATTTTAATATTTGATTTCATGTAACTATGTGAGTATCATCATTGATTATATGTGAATGGGAAGGAGAACTCGACAAAACAAAATGGATTAGCACACATCCTATATCAGGTAAGGAACAAAATTGTTTCTTAAATTTGGAAAGGAGTTGTCATCCACTATTTTCTTCCAGAAGATACTTTCTTGATTTGTTTTTTTAAGAAATTCAGTCAATTATTCGCTCTCTTTCTATGTTTTCTGTATTTTAGCTGATAAGGTTTTTAGAATAAGATTCTCATTATCAAGAGAAAACAGGCAAAAGAAATCTGAATTTATAGAAAATTTTGTTATCAAAAAAGTAGAAATTAACACTGCGTATGTTTAAGGAAGACATTACCGACAAAGAACTAGATTTATAGATATGTTTTCGTTTGCCATGTTCAATTTGTTTTGTACATATTTATCTCATAGTCAGTCTCATAAATCAGTCGACCACAATTAAATTCAAAAATATTTTTTTACACTACCAGAAATGTTAGTCTTATTTTCAACTAATTATGTAAACTAAAGAAACTGCTATCATCATTATTAACTTGCTAAAATTTTTGTTCTTAGAAAAACCGTATGTTTCGATTAACATCACGGAAGAAAACGAATAGAAAAATAATAGCAGGTTTTTAACATGAGGTAACATTAACAGTACGATAGACAGCAAATGATTATTCGCATAAAAAAACAAGTGAAATCTGGAAGAACTGTCGTTTCTATCAAGAAATTTCTACTGATGGTTACGAAATGGAACGAAACATTGTTAACAAGTAAATTTAACGTGGACACATATGAAACATTTGAAATCGGCATTGTATATAGCAAAGAATGGGCTCTTATTCTCGATTAAAAGAGCATGAACAACACGATACATCAGTAATTAACGGAGACAGACAGACAGATATAGGATGCTATCCTTGTCATTATTTATGTTCGTGTAGAAATTTTTTAGACTCTTATTTTTGTTATCTCCGTAATGATAAATAAAAGTTATATAATGTTCTCTATCTTGCTTTTTTAAACATTTTTCTATAAATGAACTAATCTTAAATTATTCTCCAATATGGATAAAGAGTACGACAATTACACAAAAGTCTCTCTCTTTACTATTTGACATTACTCTTGTTTTCTTCTAAACATGACTTTTATGAATTTCAACAAGTCAATGAGTTCTGAATAGATAAATCGCTGGTTGAACTATCTATTTTTTAATAACACTTTTGTTCGACGAATTTACATCATCCAGTGTCCACGAAAGATGATTTCCTCTTTCGAAAAAAATGCATAATAGTGGTAATTAAAACAAATCAAAAGACTTAACCATTTAGAAAGAAAATTTTCAGGTTATTCTATATACATGTACTTATACATCGTTGATTTTCTTCCAAAATGGTTAACGAGGTACTAATTTTAAAAACTCACATATAGTGTACTGATCAAACTAGTTTGACCTCTGTCAGACACAATAATCTTTCCAAACAAGCAAGATCGTATTGAAACCTGTTCTAGTTAATCAGTGATTGCGAAATAGACCTTATACTAACATTCGTTCTACCTTAGAAAAGTACCGAATATATATGAAGGATAAATTTTTAAGTGGTATAATTTGTTAGAAAATTAGAATTCATCAGATCAGGATTTATAAGCGAATCTCTGAAAAACGTTGAGGATTCGACACGTTCTGGTGTTTATTTCCTCATAAAAGTTAAACTAATCTGTGACATTTGTATGTGTGTTCACTAAAGATCTTAGAGAAGATTTCAGACACTGTCCCAATCTAGAATCTCTCATTTGTCTGTTTAGAAAAGGGAAAGTTTAAAATAAAGTTTAAATTAATTAAATTTTCTATTCTAAAGTTAGTTATGAAAGAAAACTTTCAAAATATCAAATTCAAACACTTCTTTTTTATGATAGAATATCGTTTACGTCACTGCTGTGCAGAATATAACTGTAAAGCTGCCTACTTAGTTCAACAGAACTTACGGTGGTTGATATGACTACAAAAAAAGAGCAAACAAGAAATCACACGTGAATTTTTGGACGTTTGCTTACATCTTGATGTATTAATAATTAAGAGCACAGTAGTCAAAATGTATTACCAAAAAAAAGTAGCCTATACTTGCTGTTATTTAGTTTGTCCAGTACTTGAAAAATACAAAAGTACCCGTTTATAACAGTCACTTACGAAGGAACATGCCCAACTGATAAATCGCTTTTTGATCGAAATCTAGTGGGTTATAAGTTATCGACCATGACCATCCCCATAGCCCTTCGTAGACCCGGCTCTTTTGGAACCAATCTTTCAGAAACTTCAAAAAATAACCCAAACCTTTGTTAATGAGACATCATTGTAGACCGCAAATTTCTGATTAAAATGAGATATCTCTCAGTTCTACACGATCTTTGTTTGCAAAGTTATAGAATTTACAAGAAAAGCGCTAAATGTTCATTATCAGCTCAAAGCTACAGAAATAAGAAGAAATTAATTTAGCGCTTTTCTTGTAAATTCTATAACTTTGCAAACAAAGATCGTGTAGAGCTGAGAGACATCTCATTTTAATCCGAAGTTTACGGGCTACAATGATGTCTCATTAACAAAGGTTTTGGTTATTCTGTTAGAGTTTCTGAAAGACTGGTTTTCAAAAGAGCCGGGTCTACGATGAGGTATGGGGAACACCCATGGTCATGGTCGATAACCTATAACCCACTAGATTTCGATCAAAAAGCGATTTATCAGCTGAGAATGTTCCCTCATTAGATCTAGCTTTCACCTGTAACGTACTCTGCTCAGATATATATGCTTACAAAACGAAGTATATAACAACGTTCAACCATTTGAACTTTTTTTAGTAGCTAAAGGATTGTTTAGCAAAAATGAAAGACAGACAGTTGGTACGATGCATGCGACGCTTAAACCGTTATTGTTATACTAAATAGAAAAAGAGTAAACATATCTTAATTCGATTTCTTGTATATGTAATTAGTGTTTTATTACTGAATATTTATGCATAGCAGTTTCTCGACTTGAACGACGAACTTCACAGCAAATTTTCCTTATTTTTGGATGTAACTAATTTATTGTTCACAAATGTAGATTATCAACATGTTTTTTCCTCTTCTTTACACTGTCCTATTCATTTTTAGCATATGAGCTATGTATTCACTCGAAAATATTTTCATTCTCATTGGTTGAGAAGATCCAAGTCTAATGTGACCATTTGAAACAACATACTTTTTCGTAAATATTCAGTTGTTTCTTATAAACTTGGATGATATCGACTTTTTATTTTAGTACTTGTATCGCTAGTTACTAATCTATTTGTCAAGTTTCTTGTACAGTAAAGTATTTTTTCATTTTCTCCACGAAGAAAAGTCTATGAGGGCAGTTTATTGGTTGAAAGGAGATTTAGAAAGATGGAAGAAAACATAACTTACACCGACGCTAGACAAGATAACGGGGGTTTAGCCTAGTACATTGCCAGTGAAACTCATATGTTTATGCAAATGTATGTCAGTGTAATCTCCAATGATTAATATTCGTTATAGTTGGCACATCGGTCAATATGTACACATTTAATAGGTGATTGACAATTGCTGATTCAAATAAAAAGAAACATATTGAACACTTTGTAACTTGCAAACAAAATTATATGTATCAATTTGTTTTCTCAAACATATTTCCACTTGCTACCTAATGTTTGATTATATCCGCTAATCAATTCGTGAGATGAGAAGAAAGATGAGTTTTCTATACGATAGAAAAGAATATAGAGAAATATTTAAATCTTAAATTAGATGAAATTTTTACACTCTCTTATTGATACTTTTTGTCTTATTTCAGATTATCATGGCAGCTCGAAAAGCAACACAAAAAGTGCTTGTTTTTGGTACGGTAGTTGGTGGTGCTCTTGCCGCTTATATCTACATGAGAAGAAAGCCAAAATTTATTTTTGAAACAGTTGGTCCATCAGATCCTAAGAAAAAAGTAGAAACACTCATGGCTGTTGGTGGTCTTGATCCAAATAGTTTTCGTTCAATAACATTGACAAATATTCGTAATGTTAATCATAATACAAAATTTTTTACATTTTCATTTGATGATCCAAAATCTTTATTAAATATGAAAATTGCATCATGTACAATGTTAAAAACAAATATTGATGGTAAAGATGTTGTTCGACCCTATACACCCACAACTCGTCCAAATACACAAGGTTATCTCGAATTTTTGATTAAATATTATCCACAAGGTATAATGTCAAAATATATACACAATATGAAAAAAGGAGATAAAATTGAAATTAAAGGACCAAGTATGTAGATAAAGAAATATATTCTATGATGGTAAAAATTTGTTTTTTGATTATGTTAAAATGTTGATTCATCTCTTTTTTATTCTCTAGTTCCAAAATACGATTATCATGCAAATAAGTTTCAAAATTTGGCTTTAATTGCTGGTGGTACAGGATTAACGCCTATGATACAAATGATTGAAGAAGTTTTATTTAATTCATCAGATAAAACTAAAATAACATTTCTCTATGCCAATTCATCATTTGATGATATTCTATTGAAAGATGATCTTGATAAATTGGCACAAAAATATCCCGATCAATTTAAATGTTATTATACAACTGATAAATTTGCTAATAAAGATCAAAAAAAATCATGGAAAGGTGAAACAGGGTAAGTATGAGAGAAAAACTGTCAAGTTATTCAACATTCTGATAATTATTAATGCGATGCGAAGAAAGACTGCATTATAGTAATAAACTGTGCAGCTTATCCACGTAATGCTTGACTTCGCTGATTAAGTATTTTGAAAAACAATTTTCGAACTCAATAGATCTGAACACATGATTAGATGCAGTTTTCGATGCTGATCACAAATCTAACATTTATTTTTCTTATAAGTTGGATTTTCACGCCCTAAATCGTATTTTAAGATTTTCAAAAATCGTATTTTGAATTTCCTAACCAAGAAATTGTTCGAAAGAAAGTTGAGTGACATGTTCTTAGATGCAAAATTTACTTCTCTACAAAATGGCTTATTAATTTTTGCGGTTAGTGTCATTAAATCAGCTGTACATATTTGTACAGTTTTCAACTTTCTGTACAATTTCCGGTCTCTTGAGAGGCGGTAGGAGCCTAATTCTTGTGTAAACTAATTACAACCGATGAAAAATTAAAGCCCTGTTAATATGAAAATTTTTTGAACGCCTCCAAAAGAGGTCTACAAAAAACTGTGTCACTGCGTTACGTTTCTCTTTGACATTTTATAACTCAAGGAAAAGAGTAATCAAAAAATTTTTTTACCATCAGGTAACTGATTGAAAAAGCTATAAGAACTTCTTTTGGAAGTTTCTTGTTGCTACAGTAATGAGCGAGAAAATCTCCGTTTTGTGATCATTGGTTGCGGTTTAGGGATTGCGGTTTTTTGTCACTGCGTTACACTCCGTAGAATCTCGCTAGCTCGTCAAGAATCAGACCCAACGACTTCATTCTTTCAAAATAAGTAAGACTTGATGAGGTGCATCGAATGACGCAAGAACAAACTTTCTAAGACTTCTATTTTTCGAGAAAACTTGAAAATACTAGGTCAAAAATGTCACTGCGTTACGTTTGGACAAGCTGTGCGTCTTTCCTTTCCAGATCGAAAAGTGTCATTTTCTGTAACGATTTTTTCGAGAACCAGAAGAAGTACAGTAAAATTTTAAATACGAGTAGAGAACTATATGTCTGAATTAATAAATAAGCTATATTTTTAGTCTTTGTAGATGTTCCAGTAGAGAGTTAGGACGTTCGAAAGTACGTGATTTGAACGTCTAGAACTTGTAATTTATTTTTCAAAAAAAAATGATAATCAGTCTGAGTCATTCATATGCAGATGCATTTATAAGAGAGTACGTTCCTATACCATGTGATTGATTTCATGACAATGTTTTTATATGTATTCAGCGAATAATTAACGCAATGTCTAATTTCTAAATGCATTACTGTTTTAAAGATAATTAACGCAGTATGTAAGATAAAATCTCTAGGCTATGATAAAGGTTAATGTTTAGTTGTAACTGAGAGCTTTATGTTATTAAACAAAATCTTTACCTTCGGTTATCACATTGGCCGCGCGCTTTTTTTTTACAAACATCCGACAAAGTAGTCCGTTTTTTTGAAAAAGACTAGATGTTCGAAATAAAAAGTTCGAAAGATCGGAATGAAAACATATCGGATGTTCGAAACGGTAACCAAAAAAACATCCGGATATTGGGAATGAAAGTCGTCTGGGTGTACGGAACATCATGATTCAAGGTTTTTTAGTTATTTTTGTATACAAAAATGTGTCCGGATGTTTGGAACAATCCCTCACATTTTGTTACGAACATCCGTACTTTTCATTCCAAACACCCGGACGACTTTCATTCCGACCATCCGGAAAAACGATTTTATGCTATATAGACCCGATTCCGAGCATCCCATCACTTGGCCGGATGTCCAAAAGCCCAAGGACGAAAAAGGACAGCCTCTATCATATTTAGCCGCTTCGTACCGCGTTTGCAACTCTCGCTGGCGTTATTGTCGGCTAGTTATTATTTTGTTTTATTCACTTTTTGTTGTTTGTTTTTTAGTCATATAACAGCAAATATGTTGAAAAAATTACTCCCGATGCCAAGTAAACCCGATGATGAAAGTCTTCTGGTTATGGTTTGTGGTCCACCAGGATTTATGAAATTAATTTCTGGTGAAAAAACACCGGATTATAAACAAGGTGAACTGTCTGGTCTATTGAAACAATTGGGTTTTACAGAAAAAAATGTATTCAAATTTTAAATTGACATTGACAATAGTACATTCTTTCATTTATTAGACATTAGACATGTTATCTCGTATCTTCAATAGAAAGAAGTAAAAAAATAGTGATCAAAGTAACTCTTTTCATTTCAATTCTTATTTAATTTCATGTCATTACTAATCATCTCTTTTCTTTTAACTAGAATAAATCCTACCGGCACTAGAAGATCATGGTAATAATTTTAAAAAACTCTCACAGTCATAACAAACTGAATAGACAAACATATTGAGTATAATCTAAACATTCTATGGTAAAAAAAATTTCATTTTCACATTGACGACTCGACTTGAATTAGAAATACTAATTTGGCAATTGTATTTCTATTTTGTGACCTTACACGACAAAAATGCAGAGAAATTTCATCAATTTCATAATGTCACGAGAGATTAATTTACAATAAGATGCTAAAAACAAATGTTTTTTCTAGCGGACAAAAGTAATGGCTGATCACAGGGTGACAAATTATAATTCGCTGCGAATTTGGCAAAGTCGCTAGTTTTAAAAATTCGCACGGAAGATGGCCACTATAGCCCTAACTATCTTAAGGTGCTTTGGATGCTTTAGTGAGCGGGAAGTTGACTGTGAGTATCTGTACAACAGTTCAGGCGTGCAGGAATACGGAAAAAAAATAAGAGAAAAGTTAGAGAGGAAAGGATGATAGGTGGCAAATGACTATAAAACAGAACGCAACAAAGGACAAAACCAACAAATAATCAAAAACATCTAGAACCACTGTATGCATGTTTATACGAGTGACCACCAAAGCGCCGAAAACACGGCGGGAGAGGAAAATGGCTGTGAGTATCTATCTACACAACCGGTCAGGCGTTTTCATGCCTAGTCCAATGTTATAGTTCTTGAGGTAATTTCTAAATTAGCTGTGAACTAGAATTTTCCATGCTCTCTGGCTGATACACCATCACTATGAAGTCTTGATTATGACAGTATGGTAGAGTCCTGCAGCAAGTACCCATACGCTATGTTGATTCGCAAAAAAATGTTTCTGTCAGATAGAAACCAGAAGAGGTATAGTTTCTTCTGTAAGAGGGTAGACGTTCTGTTTTGTGAATCTTATGAGACATCTCAGTGTGAGTGACTTTTGTGGTTAGGGTGGGAGACGTTTTTGAAATATATGGTAGAGATGACAAAAAAACGGCTCCTACCTAAACCACAAAGTTCACTGAAATTTCGGAGACGTTTCATAAGATTCACAAAACAGAACGTCTAAAAAATTCTATTGTAGAAGAAACTATACCTCTTCTGGCTTCCATCTGGCAGAAACAGTTTTTTATGGAACAACATAGCTTATGGGTACTTGTTACAGGGCTCTACAGTATGGACGTACGTGTTGGCAGACTAAACAGGAATTTCTTACTATTTTTCACCTTTTTATCGTTGCTTTTAACATCAAAAGTCAACTTCTGCAGTAAACGTGACACTTGGACTTAACTTGAATTAATACAACTCTTTATTACTTGATACTTGTTATCAATGATAATAAGTTCACATTTAGGTAACTATTTTTATAGATTTTGAAGTTAATCCAGTAATCAAGTATAGATATATATAATAGAAACGCGAAATACACGTGAAAATAGAGAACGTAAAACCACTAGTCCCCAGATCAAAAATCAGATCAAGATCTTACACGATCTTCTAAAATCTTATGGAAAATCATAGAGACGGATTCATCTTATCAAATCTTATAAAAATCATACAAGAATCTTACAAAATCTGACGAAATCTTACTATAAGATCTTACATCAAGGATCAGTTTCTTACAGAATCTTACGAAATCATACAAGAATCTTATAAGATCTTACAGCAAGATTGTTTGACCTGGGTCTATTTGTAGACAACCAATATTTTATGCTCCCTAAATTTAGATGCCCAGGTGATTGAATCATACTATCCGATCGTACAAGATCGTATACGAATCGTACGAAATCATATACGATTATGTACGATCTACATACGAATCATGGTACCTGATTTGTCGTCTGGCTCGTGCTGTACGATTTCATACGAAGTTGTATGATCGTATTATACGATCCAGAGGATAAATCAGATACCACGATTCATATATGATTTTCATACGATTTGGTATGATTTTGTCTGATTCAGATACGATCTTAGTACGATTCTTCGACCTGGGCACTCAAAGCCCAGGTCAAACAAATCGTATATGATCGTATCTGAATCAGACAAAATCATACCAAATCGTATGAAAATCATATATGAATCGTGGTATCTGATTTGTCCTCTGGATCGTATAATATGATCGTAGTAGATCATATACGATCATTCAACTTCGTATGAAATCGTACAGTACGAACCAGACGACAAATCAGACACCGCGATTCGTATGTACATCGTACATAATCGTATATGATTTCGTACGATTCGTCTACGATCTTGTACGATCGGATAGTACGATTCAATCACCTGGGTTTACAATTCCCCAGGTGATTGAATCGTACTATCCGCGATCGTACACGAATCGTACGAAATCACATACGATTGTATGATCGTATTGTGCGATAGTTTGGAAGGACATTGAATTAGTTTTTTGATTGTAAACTCTTCCTTTTAAATTTTATTAACAGAAATTATTTCAAAAAACGTTTCGGAAGAATCTTCTTCCTTCTTCAGTTTGAAAAAATAATGAATGAGATATAGAACTATCTGAGCAACACATACTAATTATTCTTTTTTCCTCTCTCTCTCTATAACAGTGGAAACGGACGGACAACAGGACGTTTTTACCGTCCCATTACTCATAATCTCTTAACTGTCTCTTTGATCGTTTAAATTCGATCTTCCTTTTTATATGATCAATATTTTTGTGCAACAAGGGCATCCAAGAATAATCTAGGTCATTATGTCTATTTATCGACTTGTTCATAATTGAATAAATAGATTCTTTCACACGTCTCTTTCTCC